TCTGGGGACCACGCATTGACACTCACTGCCCTAGACTTTGGGCAATCACCACCTAAGTCAGCCACCTCCCCCATTCACCTGATCTATACCTATAATCCAGATACTTCAGTCTGGATTTCACTTTCTAAGCACAGCATTCTTCTCCAAACATACCAGTGAATTGTTTTAGGATTTCTTAATGCCATTCAAATTGGTCCACCCATGATCCTATGAGCCTCAGGTTTGCTGTCTCTTTGCCTTTGTGTATATCATTTGCCTGCCTAGAATGTTCTCAAACCTTATCTCACTAAGCCTCTGTAGGACTGACACAGTGGAGTGGCCTTTCCCCTCTTGGCCAAACCATTACTTATTTCTTTTTATTTCAGGAGATAAAAATTATAGTACACTGAGAGACAGAAATAGGACAAAGAGCTTTTTATTCCCTCTACTCCCTACCAGGTGTAATTGTGAAATAATGTCATATGTAACTTTCATTTGCTCCTTTTCTGGCCTTAAAATGAGCATATTTAACTCTAAAATGATCCTGGGCCAGAGCTGAATGCTTACTCAGTCTGCAGACGATGCAGAGAGGTTACCCAAGCTTGCAGCTGACCTTCTGGAAGCAAACTGGTAATCCTCCCAACAGTGAGCAGCTGCTCTGCCCTTCATATTAATTTCTTCTGGGCTGAAATGATGAGCCTACAGAGATATCTAATCACAAATCTCTCACTTTGTTGGTACAAAGAAGCATGATTTCTATACAAAGGGGCCATAGCAAGCGTTTTGCAGAGTGCCCACAGTGTCCTCCCTTCTTGTAGGTGTACTACCTGTCTCTGGGAAAGCAGACACAAGCCTGGTATGTCTTGCTCAAGAACAACACACAAGAGTCATGCTTAAGCAATGCCATTAAATCAAATTTTCAACCACTTACCCCCAAATTACCACCATGTTTTCAAAATTCCATGATAAGCTCTCAGTCCTCTTCCCGATTGACCTATCAGTAGTGTTTGACATACATTCAGGCTTCTATAACAGAATACCATGAGCTGGGTAGCTTATAAACA